ATCTGAATGAATAAATGTAGCTTGGTTATATCAGTACAGAAACAAGCGTATAAAAATAAGTATTAATTAGTACTAGGCAAACCTGAGGTATTAACATGCATCCATTGATGTATCCAATGTTTTTTGCACGCTTAAGTTTTAATTGCAGGGATAGTGCGGCCTGTCGGAGCTCCTCGAGTACAAAGTGTGCCTAGTTGTATGTATGAATGTTCGCCATATCAAACACCGGTTTCAGATATCGTGTTGATATGAAGTTATTAAGGGACTGTGGAGCTAAGAATTTGGTAACAACACAAAATGCAAACGCGGTCTTGAATTGGAGGATCTCATCATTTGTCATCGGATCAACATATTTTTTTGAAATTATCTTCAAAAGGCTACTGATGGTGATTTCATCCCATGAATCTTTTCTAAAAACACCACAAAAATATGCTTTCATGGAACTAACATCCTGTGTGCTTGGAGGTATTATGATCTGGCCGGAACAAGGGAGTCCACTCACACGATTAACATCCTCGGGTGTCATCTTGAGCTCCCTGCTTGTCCCAGCGAAAAAAAGCAACAATTCCGCATCAAATTTACTTAGGAGCCAGGCTCCTATCGGTTTATTCAGCTTATGTAGCTTCAGACTATATAATCCCTGAAAACCCATCTCTTCTACAAGCCTTCTCTGCTGCTCACCTAGGTCTTCCAAGAGATCTATAATGATAGAAGGAGCACACCTGGTGTACAACTTGTCCTTCCATGGTTTCTTCTTGACGGAGCTCCGTTTCTTTGATCGAGAGCCATCGGAAGCTTTTTTGGCAGACCCCTGTTCTTGCCTATGAGTATGTACTTTCGAAAGAGCTCGCCTAAATGCAGATTTGGAGTTGCTACCGCTACCGCCGGGCTTGCCCATACCTACAACGGGGTAAACAAAACTCAGTGTACGTATGAGGCTTCGAGTCATTGTAGGCCGATGTATAAGAAGGATTAGTAGTTGCATGGACGTAGGAACTCTTGTCTCATCACATACCAGATCGGACCATCGTTGGCCAGCCCTTCTCTTCACCGTCTTGCCGGCGGCAGAAAAATACTTGCGACCGCGCCGATCCACGGGCGCCAGCCGGCGATGAAAGAAACGGCTTGGCAGATACTAAAAAGTTTGTTAGCGCGTACAACAACAACCTAGGTTCTTAATAGCTGGATAAGGATGGCTTTGCGTAGGAAATAGTCTTGGTCGGTTATTAGCCTGATTCAAAATTTGGGATAACAACAGAAACAACGGGATAAGCACCTAATAAATAAATTAAATAAATTAGAAGCAATGGCAAATGGGTCGGGTGCTAGTTTCTGCTAGCCCGTTAGCATTGGCAACGATACATACAAGAAAACTCACGCTCCATCCAGGAAGCTGAGATCTACGGTGGATTCTTAGGGGGTAACTACCCCCGGTAGTAGTATGAAATTTCCCTATATATATATATATATATATATATATATATATAAACACTATTCTGATCACAACCTGAACTGCTTGAGTAACGTGCCTGAACTTCTCTCTGTACAAACCCGACCTTCGGGCTATCTTCGCAACCGTGCCTTCTACCGCGAGTTTTTCTTGTTAGTCGTGTTCCATGTGATGTAAGTGTAATTTTCAAACGATTTTTAGCAACTAAATACTCGTTTTAGATAGGAATCTCGCTCATAGGCGGATTTTGCACTCGGGTCGTGAATGACTCGCGTTTTTTGCGATTTTACTGCCTGAGTTGTTCGACCTGAACTTCCCCCTGTGCTAGGTTGAACTTCCCGCAACATTACCCAAACGGGGCTTGCTATATACCGTTGGAAAGCTATGGACACGAGTATCATGACCCAAGTTAAATTTTTCGCAAAATGTAAGCGGTTTAAGAACAGTTTTGAAAACCGTTTTTTCTTCACACAAAAAACGTGAATCGTAATTTCGATCGCATTTCTAAACCGTTTATTGGAATGAGGCATATAATATGGCGTTGGAAAGCTATTGCAAAACCGCTCCTTCCACATGTTGAAAGTTTTTTCTAATTCCCTATGGTTAAAGAGTAATTTGAAAAAATGTAAAATTTCGTAAACCGAACAGTTGAGTTCGTTTTTTCGATGTCATTTCTAAATGGCTAATCCAATGGAGGCATATGATATGGCGTTGGAAAGCTTATGAAAATGCACTACTTTTTCATCTAGAAATTGTTTTTCTAATTTTGAATGGTTTAAGAGTAATTTAGAAAATGGTCCAAGTCCTACCGAGTTCATATTTTCGAGCTAATTTTTTAACCGTGCGTCCGAATGCAGCAAATGATATGGCGTTAGAAAGCTTGAACAAATGTGAAACTTTTTGGTATGTATTGTTTCTCCAAATTCTTTACGGTTTTAAGTCAGTTTTGAAAATGGCGAAAAACGTATTTTTGTCGTAATTTCTACAAACTTTATCGGAATTGGGCAAATAATATACCGTTGAAAAGCTACGGAAAATGTGAAACTTTTTTATGTTGATGGTTTTCTCTGATTCCTAGCCGTTTTCAAGTAATTCCAAAAATGGTGGGATCATTCGTTCTGCCTCTACCGCGAAACAGATTCTTTGAAAATGCACCGCGTGAAGAACCTGAACTTCTCGGTGCGTGTACCTGAACTTCACTCTGTTTTTTCACGTGATTTTTTTGCTCGTAGCTCTTCATCCACTGCTCGTAGCTCTCCATCCACTCACTGGAATTGAGCAAGTGATATACCGATGGAAAGCTATTGTAAACACGCAAATTTCCCGTGTTGATCATTTTTTCATACTCGCGACGATTTTAAAAGTTTTTCATCTCAAATTCATTCAGTGCAGTAGGTGAACTTCATGCTGTTTTTACATTGAACTTCTGTGACGTATTCTCGTTTGTAATTTTTCCATCCCTTTCGTCAGTGTTACACAAATGATATTC